CTCCCCCCCCCCCCCCCCCCCTCGCCACTCCTGGAGCATATCTATAAATGCGCTCAGATGCTAGGTGAGTTTCAGAAGTTTAACTCCAAATTCTGGAAAGTTTGGGTTGTCAGAATAGTTTAAAAAAACCAAAGGCAGAGGAGCCAAAGACATTTTAAAAAATTCACCCTTTTTCCTTCCTTTAACTTAAGTTAGTTAATTTTTACAAGTTTCATATCATTCTAACTATTCCTTTTGACTTGTGCTTCTTGTAGCATCTCTTAAAGGATGCTATACCAGATGACAAATAGCAACTAATAAAATTTTGAAACACTGGGATGCATAGGATCAGTACAGGCCAACTCAGGGTTGAAATAACCGGTTTCTGGCAACAGTGTATAACAGTATGATGAAGGTAAAAGCTGTATCTGTTCAAAGTTTGAGATGGATGGAAGCTTGGTATCATGATTTAATTCTAAGTAAGAATTCAAATACCTACTTTCACAGGAGCTTCAACCTGTCTGATTCTAAGGACAGGTTCACCTTGAGACCTTGGTTTTGTCATGAGTTGAAAGAGTGCTTCCAACTGAAAAATTGCCACCCTGTATTGTCAGCCAGCTTGGTAGGCTTCCTATTCAGCTACAAATTGGGCACAATTCTGCCTAGCTTATGGAAACTGACTTGATCCTATTAGAAGCTGGTATGTCTACTAGTTAGTTGTTTTTGTGCTACATCAGGAATATCTGCCCTCCTCAGCATGCTGAGATGAGGTAGGGAAACGGGTAATAAATGTTAAGGTTTAAAGCTTTAAAAAAAAAAAAGGTTGGGGGGCGGGCAGGAGGGGGGAAGAAAACGGTTACAACGTGACAAATCCCAGTAAAAGCAGCCCAGTATCTTTATTGTTTCCCGGACCATCATTGTTTTTCAGCATTAAAATGTTTTCCCACTCTGCTCCTCTCTTGACTATTTCCCCTACTGTTTGTTCCTAGAAGTCCAGTAGGTCAATCTTGCAGTTCTACAGACAATAAGATTCTGGGCCAAATGGTAGTTCTGGGCTAAATGGTAGTGATGGATGTTGGCTGCAACTTGGACGTGAACTGGTGACATTTAACAGGGTTGGTAACATTGCAGTGCTTTATTTGAAGTTTGTTCCTTTAGGGCAGTGGTTGTCAACCAGGGTGTCTGGAGGTCCTTTCAAGGGTGGTACAGGGTGCTACACAATGTTAGCACTGTTAGGTATGCAAACATTCACACGATAAACTGAGATTTTGTATAGGAATCCATAGTCTTAAATGCCACTGTGGTGTTTGCAACAGAAGATTTGCTCTATTATTTTTCTGTAGGGGGGAAAAAAAAAATGGAAAAGCTAAGAGCTGAAGGGTTATTTTCTGAAGGGTGCCTTGTCTGTCAGGGGTGCCTTGAGTTTAGAAAGGTTGAAAACCACTGCCTTGCAGGAAAGGTAATTGTATTGTAACTTGTAGGTTCTCATTTTTTTTAATATAACTTGTGATGTTGCAGTCTCTTGCTCATAGCATTCCTTATTGTGTCTGAAGGAAGTTACAGCATTTGTTGCAGCCATGAGTTTAACTTCTGAAAGATATTTGATATGTTAGCTATCTGTATTGTTATCCCAGTAAATACAAGGTGTGCTGACCTGTTTCCCACTACGTTAAAGTTATTATGTGTAAATATGTCCTTGCTATAAAGAAAATATGAAGAATTACGTCTTGGTCAGTGGCTGTTACCTCATAGGAGATCGTATAAGTGTTGTCTCATTGTTCCCTCCCCATAAATTAAACAGGCTTTTTTTTTCCCTCTTCCCCACACAGGACAAACCCAGAAAATGAATCTCTTCCAGTCTATAACAAGTGCCTTGGATAATGCCTTAGCCAAAGATCCTACTGCAGGTATGCTATCCTTGTAATTGTGATCCTTGCTGTAGCGTGGAGCTGCATGGAAATAGGAAGCTTTTTGGTTTTTGTAGGGGTCTTTTTCCCATTAATGGAAAAACGTTATCTTTAAAGTTAAATACAGTACAAACTATTGGCAGTGTTTTTAATGTAGAAATAACCTACTTCACTTCCCATGTTGTGGTAGTGTTATTGATGTTTTAGCTGTGATGGAACTAGGTGAGAAGCAAGGATTTTTGGGGTAATAACTTTTTTATTGGACCAAGTGCAGTAAAAGTTATTCCCCCCACCCCCCCCCCCCCCCCCCCCCAAATCCTTGCATTTCCCAAATTGGTAAGAGGGAGGATTCACTGTATATGTCTTATGTACTTAAGGGCCATAACCTTTCGGCTATAGTTATGTTTCTCCTGTAGTAACTGGTAGCATTGTTGCTATCCAGTGTTGAGCTAGGGAGAGCTCCATTGCTTAATCTGTTCTGGCTACTGGTAATGTTACTGATACTGAGGGGAAACTTGACTCCTAGTATGCAAGTTGTGCGGGTCGGCTCCCGATCCCATCCTCGCCATGTGCGAGCCGGGCCCGTCTTTGCGCACACGGACTGTGGCTAGCAGCCCGGGCACGTGGGGCCGAAGAAAACTGCGGGGCGGTAAGGTACGCGCGAGCTAGAATCAGTTACGGAGGCGTAATGGTTGATTGAAAAGATTATTTACTTACACCCAAGGTGGTCGCGGTGTAGGCTGGACAGCTTTCCAGGCGCAGCTCCGCTTGAATCCT